GAGAATGTCAAAAATGACCAATGGTTTGAATCCTTTTTTTTAGAGCAACTTAGGTAGTCCCGTTCCTCCACCCCCTCTTCATCTACACATGTCGGACGCCCCTCACCCCAAGTCAAGGGGGCGGTCAGACGTGTGGAAGATTGGGGTCCCCATTTTTGAGTTGGAGAATCCTTCTTGCCTGTTGCCTTATTATCAGGGGCATAAAATGGCATAAAAACTCTTAACATTCTTTTTAGCAGCATCGAAAGGAGTCCACGAGCATGAGACTTCTTTAGTAACATTCTAGTCTGATGATTTCCACACGCTTCCCGTAACGTCGACACGGTGTCAGCGGCTTTTCCGTCTGACTTCGTCCCCCACTGTCGCCCCACTGCCGAGCACACTGTGAGCACGTGCAAAAAGAAGCGTCCTAGAACCAGGTGTCCGCCAAACCTTTCCTCCTCGCCTGCCCCAGCGTTCCACGTCCTCTGTAGCTGTTTTCACTTGGGGCATTTGGGGAGTCGCGGCGTGGAGTGTGGGGAGTCGGGTGCTCAGGAGCTCGAGGTGTGCGCAGCAGTCTGTGTGGTGAGCAGTGTCCCGCCCAGAGTGTCGGTGATGTCACCTGTCTTCCTGTGTCCCCTCTTCCTCCCGCTGAGTCCCAGTGAACACAGTCACCAAAGCAGGGTCCTGTCACTCCTGGACTGCCTGCTCACCTGGACGTTTGCTGCCCCCAAGTGGTGCCATAGTTTTTCTGCTGCTTTCTTCTTGGCTCTTTTGTGCCTGGTTTCCTGCATCGGTCAGCATGTGTCTCTGATGACGGTCCTATAGCTGCGGGGCAGACCCGGCACACTGCGTCTAAGAGAAGTGGCAAGGTGCGCACTGCCTCCCCATTCTCATGGGTAGTTTCTAGAAGGGAGTGAGCTCTTGCAGGGGAGCGATCGTGGGAGGCGATCGAGTTTACTTTCAGTTTGTTCATGCACATGGGCTGCTGTAAATGCTGTTTTGCGTTGGACACGTTTATCCTTCCGTTCACCCAGACTTGGTGGGTGCCGTTGTGCTCACCTTCTGTAAACACCCCGCGGGGCTGCTCTCCTCCACACGGAGCCTCGTGTCACCGAGTTTGTCCACTGGTTGAGAAAATTCCACGTGGCTTCCACGTGGGGCTGGAGACACTCCTTGAACCATTCCCTGTTTAATTTGTGGTGTTAATGTTCTGTTCCCTGATATTTACTATTTCCAAACATTCTGTGACTTGGAGCCAGCAGCTACTACTGTTTGAAAGCCAGAGGGGCTGACTGGAACACTGGAGAATTACAAGCTCGCCATCCTCTAGGGTGGATGGCAGGTGCGTCGAGTGAACCGCCGCTCATCCCTTCCAGTGCAGGCTCTAACGGTTCACTAGACAGGTAGGTAGGCTTGTTCTTCCTGGAACCCTCCTTCCCTTGTAACTAGGCATGTAGGAAACGGTAGATTTGAGTAAGTGGAACGGTTTTTTAAACTGTCACAGCCAAAGAAACTGTAAACAAAGCAAAATACTAATGATAACCTGGTGAACGTGTCTGCAAGTCATTAACTGGTCGTCCACCGTGGGGGGCAGCAGCTACGCAAACGGCCCCAATCCTATGAGATGGCGTTCAACTTTATTCATGAGAAAGATGCAGTTTAAAACTGCACTACGAAACCTTTTCTCACCTGTCCGATTAGCAAAAACCCAGCAGTTTAGAAACACATCCGTGAGGGAAGCAGCTGCCCCGACACTGCCCGTGGAGGGGCAGTCCGAGTGCCGCAGGGCAAAGTGGCGGCACTGACGGCAGCGCTGCTCAAAAAGTCACCACTTCATGGGACTATTCCTAAAAAAATGGAAGTGGGCGAGAAGGGGGGGCTCATGTTTATAGAACAATGCCAGTTGCTGGATGTGGACAGAATGATAGAAGATCACCAGTTTGTACCTTCTCTTAATGATGCAAACGAGAATCATTAGTAGGTGTCAGTCACTGGCAGGAAGATTTTTGGAACAGGAAATTCAGCCGCATAGCATCTCCCCATCATCTTACTAATTCTGAAGAGAAGAAGTACCTGGACTAGAGAGAGCTCTGAGGAACCCCCCTTAACTAGGTAGGTGATCAGATTCAGTGTGATGGGAGGGGACCAGCTAACACACTCCTTCGGGTGGGGTGCGGTGGGAGGCACCCACCATCCCCTGCGTTCAAGATGTTGAACTTGGGTCTGATGCTCAACACACACAAATTGGAATGTAGGCCATCCCCCAAGACAGCTGGCTCTTTGAAAATGAAGGCATCACGTAAGGTCAGAAGCAAAGTGGGAGGCTGTCCTGGAGCAGAGCAGACTGGGAAAACCACGAGGGCCCGTGTGGGCAGGGCCTGGCCTGGGCCTCAGCTCCTTGGAAAGAGTGGGGCCACCAGTGTTCTCACGCGTGACAGAGGACTTTAGAATATGGGTTGCACTGTAAGTGATTTTATTGAATCAAATCAATGCTAAAACTCTGGGCTGTGAAAAAAGTAATATTAGAAATATTCTTGACCACTTTCCAACTCTGAAATTGAAAAGTCCACAGAAAAGACTTTATCTATGACTTAATTTATACTTAACTATATAGAGTGAAGTGTTCGAAAGCAGGTCTGTCCAATGGAAATATAACATGGGCCATGAATGTAAGTTTCAATTTTCTAGTACCACATTTAAAAGGTAAAAAGAAACAGATGAAATTGATTTTAATAAAAATTTTATTTAAGCCAGTATATTCAAAATTTTACCATTTTAATATAAAATCAGTATTAAAAATTACTAAGGTGATATTTTACTTTTCTTAGTCTTCAAAATCCACCATGTATTTTCATTTAGAGGATATCTCGATTCAGGGGACAAATTTTCAGCAGAAATATTTGAGTTTTATCTAGGTTTTATAAAATTTACAACTGAGAAAGTAGTCACATACCAGGTTCTTCCAAATATTCTTAAACATCATCCAAGTATTAGTTTTTAATTTAAATTAATGAAAATTAAATAAGATAAAAGTTCATTTCTTCCATTGCACTGGCCATACCTCCTGGGCCCAGTGGCGACACGGGACTAGAGGCCCTTGTGTTGGGCAGCGCAGCATCTGGTCTGTGTGGTCACTTACCTGCGGCAACAGTTGCAGATTTGTGTGATTTCATGTAAGTTACCTGTCCAAGGGATCTGTGGGAGGAAGCCACTGGTGGATGCGGGAGCAGCGGGGTTGAGGCTGAGTCTGGAAGCCGGTGGAGCCCAGAGAACGGTGTCTGAGACCCCGAGTCTGAGTCTGGCAGTGTGGCCGTGGGGAGTCAGCCCAGTGGTCTGGTGTTGGAGCCTTTGGTCTTCTGCTGCTGTGCCCTGGAACGTCTTGGAAATCAGTGAGCCAACTGCGGCTGCATGTGGGGGGTTCTAGGAAGACAGCGCTTTTGTTCAAGGGTGGTCCTTACAAGTGATACCTAAGACTACACTCGATCGGAGTCGGCCTGATCCCTTTTGAAATGTTCAGGGCTGATGAGCGTGTTAGTTTAATGGTCTCAGAGAAGCAAAGATGTCGAATGGTGTAAGATGGTACTGATAAGTATGGTTGTCATTACAGGGTACTTTAAAATGGTTAGCGGTCCTGGTTATCTGTTGAATTGTTGCACTGAATCTCTTACTCAAGCAGGATTGTTGTTATTTACCAGACAGGACACCTAGATCTTTATAAGGGGGAGAACAGTATATTAGTCCTTTGAATGAAGAGAATCTCACCCCTCTTCAGTGTCTTAGAAGTGATCGCATTGGCCACACGCTCTCACTTACCACGAGATTTCTACTTAGTTCTTTGCTGACTTGTCTAGCAGAAGCTTCAGAGCAGATCAACATTTCGCTTTCGTCTAGAGCCGGTGTGGTGTCCGTACCTCCTCATCCCAAGGGCCTCCCTCGCCTTGAAAGCGTTCTTGCTACACCAGCCATGGAATGGGCAGTATTCCTTGGATGTTTCTCATGTGTAAGTTTTTCTGTTTTCCTTTTTTAATTTCCTTGGGGGTGGAGGACACCCACGAACATCAGCAGGGTCTGCACTCCAGGACTTAAAGGGATTGGAATATTGAAACCAAGCTGAGGCAGAGACTAGACGCATTGAGAGAAGCGCCAGTCCAGGGCACACTCCCAGCCCTCCGGGGCCCTCATGGAGTGCGAGCTGGGCAGCTGGGGGCACACACCTGCTCTGGGCCCGCCATGTGGTCACCTTGTAGCCTGAGTGTGGCGTGATGATGAGGGTGCAGAGGGCCAGCGGAGGCCGAGAGGAATTTGGGGGCAGGCTTGAATCTTTTAAAAAGCACCAAGAATGGGCCTTCTTCAGAGGTATTTTATGTTTCATAAAGCTCAGAGCCTGCCTCATTGCCAAAGTGAATTCACAGAAACTGTCACTGGCAATTGTTAAGTAAACCCACAGGCTCTGAGCCCGTGCCACGTGGCGTGCCCAGGTGGGCATGCGACGGAGGATGAAAGATAACGCAGGCCGAGTCTGTGCTCCGTGGAGCACCGCCGCGGGGGAGTGAAGGCGCATTTGGCGGAGCAGAGCCCTTCGGTCATCCGCGTTCCTCATGAACGTGACCGAGCCTAATGGCTCCAGGAGCCCGCTGGTAAAGTTTACGGTTTCTTGAAAGTCAGAGACTTTCTTAACTCATTTCCTGTTACGACCGATTAAGAAAGAAGCAGGCGTTAGCGGTGGTTGGCAGGCTCCTGAGTAGACCTGCTGTTCAGGTCTGCAACTGGGTTTTCAACCGAGGACTGCGAAGAGGTGACAATTAACGCGGCTTTGTTTCTGCTGAAAAAGTAAGTGGTTGTAAGCGAAGAGTAATGAACTTACTCAAAATCTTTCCTGTACAGTGATTATCCAGAAAACGAAGAAATAAAGAATCTCCTGCAAGAGCAGTTGAATTCGTTGTCTAAGTAAGCACTCTACTTATGTTTTATTAGAAGATAATATGAGAAAGGAAAATACAATAATTTGGGCTGTTTAAGATGAAAATAAGTTGTGTTTTAGAAAACATCTGTGGCCCAAGGAGAGGGCCACAGAGGCTTGCGTCCCTGGGGAATCTGTGTGTGGTTACTTCATAGTCCCACTGACGGAGCCTCTGTCTCCAGCAAGTGCCTGAGTGTCCGATGGCTCTGGCCTCCTGTCTGGGCTGGAGCAGCGCTGGGGAGCGAGCATCCTCCCAGCTCAGCCTGCCCCCACCATGAATCCCCTGCGCGCCTGCGTGAGGACACACACAGGCGGTCCCTTCTGCCAGCCTCCTGCCTCCGAAGTGGGCACTCCACACAGGGCCTGCACAGCTCTGGCAAGGAGGTCAATATGCCACCTGAGCCAGGAGCACTTAGAAGTATACGTTAGGAAAGGCATCGCAAAGGGGTTCTGAGTGAAACATGACAGAGTTTTGTTTTACATGTGATTATGATACTTCATACGTTATCCATAGTAGAATGCTTTGTTGATGTCAGATTCAAAATAATTACTTGATTGTTTTCTCTATATAAAGGTTAACATTTGTGTTTCAATAAAAAAGAATACATTTAAAGAATATCTGTCCTTCCCCCTCCCCCTAATTTACGAATATTCTCTATTTGACTATTTTAGAAATATCAGTATATAAAAACACAGCCTTTCTTCCTTAAATATTTTATTTCAGGAGTAACTTCAAGAGTAAATTCTGAATGCAGCTTCTTTAAGGAGTTACTGTTCCTGCTGATTAGCAAAGTCATTTCATCAGCAGTGACATTCTCGTTCCTGTGGTTAGTTAGGCAGCTGTTCGTATTTTCGAGAGTCTGAGTCGGAGTGTGGTGAGAACGTCGGCCACAGCCGGAGCCTTGCAGCCCCGGGGTGGCTTCTCCAACCGGGGCTGTAGGAGCTTCTGTAGGGTCAGGGGCACGGCAGAGGGACGTGTCCCGTGAGTTCAACTCCACGCCCTTCGAGCGGAGTTGTCCGTTTCTGAGCATATTGACTCATCTCCCCGCGTTACTGTTCACTGAAAATGCCCTTCTTGCCTTGTCTGGGTTCCCGTCTGCAGTGACGTAAAGAGCCTCTTGCTGGATCCAGAATTCACCCTCCTGCAAAGATGCCTGCTTGTTTCCAGGTAACACTTTCGGAAGCATTCTGTGTAAGAGACAGAGAATTTCTGGTTAACGCGTTTCTCTTATTACAGATCATTAGTTAAGATCAGACTCTTTTAGATTTTAGAAAACATTTTAGTTTAACTTTTAATATGCCAATTTTGAAAGTAATAACAGAAATAGAAAAAATTATAATTAATGTGAGACCTGTGCCTTCTCAGTTGAAGATTTCTTCCTACAGACAGCTCTTTAAATGTGTGTTTCAGAGTATCAGCTGTAGAGGCGTGTCCTTAAATGTACCAGTAAGCTGTGTTTAGACTCAGTAACCTGTACTTTCACGGCGCAGACGGCTGTCAGTTCTGAAAGACACATTTCCTCCCAGAGAATAAACTGTGAGCTGACCCCACCCCTCGAGTGGCTGGTCACCCAGTGCTTCTTCCTTCCTGTGGGGCAGGGCTCAGAACGGAGGTGTGCTGATGGCCCAGGCTGCCAGCCTGTGGCATCGCCCTCGCCACAGAGTGGAGGGCGTCTGGGCCGCAGGGGCACACCGCGGCCCGGCCCCCGGGCCGTTGGAGCCCCAGTAACAGGGCTGGAAAAGGCGCCGCGTTACCACTCTCCTGGCTGGCTCCAGCCCGGCCGCACCCGTGGCTCAGCGGCAGCGCCGCGCCCCAGCATTCAGGCCCTCCGAGAGCGCCTGTGTGGGTCCGCGCAGTGGCAGCTTTGGTCTCCCCTTCTCAGGCTGTACGGCGACGAGTCGGAGCTGCACTTCTGGACCGTGGCTGCGCACTACCTGCACAGCCTGTCCCCCGCGCGGGCGGCCAGCACGCCGGCTGGGAAGGAGGCTGCTCCGCGAGACCCAGTGAACGACCCGCTGGACATATGCTACGACATCCTCTGTGAGAACGCCTATTTTCAGGTGCTGTGCTTCGTACACGGAAACCTCGGGGCTGTCGTTCTGATTGCTTTCGTGTCCGTACGTGGACTCAACTTGGGCAGCATGGGAACTAAGTCAAGGTCCACATAACGGAGATGAGTCCCTTCGCACACTTGCATGAGAAAGACCTGACTCAGGACTTGAAAAGTTTATAAACGTTTACTGAGTTTTTTTAATGCACATTGAAATTTTATGATTAGCAGTCTTTATTTTCTTCTTTACCTAAAAATTTTAACTTAGGTTTATTTTAATTCTCTTTTATCATTTTCTATAAATAACAAATATTTCTTTCACTGGGCTTGTGAATTTTCTATTTTATATATAAAAAGGTAGCTTCAAAACTTTTTAATCTATAGTATGAAGGGGGACCCCCCAAAACCCAGAATTTACTTATAAGAATTGTGTATTTATTCAGACACGTTTAAACTTGTCGCTTTCAAAGTCCTCTGCATCCTGCACCTACAGAGTTTTCCCACTGCTCAAGACAGTTTGAACGCAGCGATTTTGATGCCTTTTAGTGTTTCTGCCGTTTTTTGTTTTACCTCTCCATCAGCAAAATGTTTCCCTTTGAGGACTTTTTCCACTTGGGGAAACAAAACAAAACAAAAAAAGTTGCTTGGGGCAAGATCAAGTGAATAGGGAGAGTGGGGCATAGGTCATGGTTTTGTTCAAAAACTGCCGACCACTCAGAGCAGTGTGGGCAGGTGCACCTGTAAACCACCCATCGTGAAACGGGCAAGTGCACTGAGTCTTCAAAAAAAATTCACTGAAGCCGAATGCAGCCTCTCACAACAATGCCAGCTGGTACCCTGATCCAGATGGGTTCCTACACTTGCCTAGTGAGGGAACCCTGTCACACAAGGGGCCTGCCCTCTACAAGATAATTCCATTGTTTTTGGTGGGTGGCCCCCTCACAAATTCCGTATATATAGGGGTTTTCATTCAGCTTCAAGCGAGTCCCAGCTTCTGTAAGGGGGCAAACCTGTATGCAAATGATAACACACTTCAGCCTTTTTTCTTTTCAAATTCTTACTAAACTGTTGGATTGATGTAAAGTTGGTTGATAACCTTACAAATCAAAATAATGTTTATTCAAATGACAGTAAGTATAGTGAAATTTAAATAATTCAAAAGTCTTATAACCCAGGCCTAATTTTTTTTTTCCTACTCTAGAAATTTCAGCTGGAAAGGGTTAATCTGCAGGAAGTGAAACGGACAACTTATGATCACACGCGGAAATGTACAGACCAGCTACTTCTCTTGGGTCAAGTATGTCAACTTCTATAACTCTTGTGGAGTTATTAGTGGATTAGTGTTTCAGAGCATCACATCTCTCTCTCTCACACACACAGGCACGCACGCAACATAATGCTTCTCTAAAAGTATAAGTATGAATTTCGGTTTCTCCCAAAATAAAACTGGCAGATCTTCTAGGAAAGCAGAAACACATGGCATGTTAACCAGCTTGTAGTTCCGGCCTCCGTAATGCCGAGTGAGGCCCAGTCTGGTGCTGTGCCTGCGTCTCTGAACCGATGGGTGCAGCGCTGTAACAAGTGACCCCAGCTGGGGCTGGAGGTCTGTGCCAAGGGCAGCGAGGCCCTTCCCTTTGGTTTTCGTGTGTGTCAGCAGAGCATTCGTGAGTGGTTTCTGAAAATGGAAGTCTTCCTCCAGCTGTGACTTCCAGGGCCCCAAATGATGAATTAAAAGGCTGCGTTGGAGGAACAGAGTGAGAAGGACTGCTTCTTTATCAGACAGACAGGGCGGTGCAGCTGCTGCTGGAGACCAGCGCGGACAACCAGCATTACTACTGCGACTCACTGAAAGCCTGTTTGGTCACCACTGTCACCTCGTCGGGCCCCTCCCAGAGCACCATTAAGCTGGTGGCCACCAACATGATCGCCAATGGCAAGCTGGCAGGTGAGGCCCGCTTCCAGCAGCGGGTTTGGCAGTTGGGGGTGTTGCTTTCCTTTGTGTGGGTGCTGGAGAGAGCAAGGATGATTATCGCCAGCTCTTTACAAGGTAACTGTACTCTAATCCTCTAAACCAGAACACTTTTTTTTTAAGAGTGAAAGGGGCACTATTAATAAATGCCAAGAAATAGGCATAAATTGGACAAACTTGGGCAAACTGAAATGATGAAAACCAGGGAGCGAGGTAGGCTTCACCTGTTTATTTTTGGGACTTCAGTGTGCTTCCTACGTGGTTGCTCGAGTGGCAGCATCGCCGAGCTCTGTCCTAATGTTTTATGTTAAACTGTAAGTCAGGAGCGTGTCCAGCAGGTAAGAGCACAGGACTCCATGAGGTCAGGGCGAGGTTGCTGTCAGCAACTCGTCCGAGAGCGTGCTGCGGTGTCACGGGACTGCCGCTGTCTTGTCTCCCAGAGGGTGTGCAGCTGCTCTGCCTGATAGACAAAGCTGCGGACGCCTGCCGCTACCTGCAGACCTATGGCGAATGGAGCCGCGCGGCGTGGCTGGCCAAGGTAGGTGATCCCGGCCAGGGCCCGGCATTCAGGGTGAGAGTTTCAACCCTGAGCTTTTCACTCAGGAGTTAGCACTGGGGGCTGCAGAGCCGCTTTTGCAAATACTCTCTCCTAACGCTCATCCTCCTGTTCTTTATGCGCATCGGTTACACTGCTTCTGTTTGACAGATGCAACTTCCATTGGTAGTGATTTCTCGAAAGCGGCTGCCTCCTCTCCCTGCTGGGGTGTGAGCCCAGACCACAGCCCAGGGGTGCCACCTGGTCCCCGGGGTCCCTCAGGCCTGGGTCCTCATCACTCCTGGCCCCGGTCGGCTGCAGCTGCAGCGCCCGGGCAGTGTGCTCACAGAGCAAAGCCTGGCGTTTGCCTCCCAGGAGCAGGTCCCGTGTGGGTGAGTTTTTCACACGTGCACAGTGCAGGTGTCTTTGTCTTTAACACGGGCGTCCTTCTCAGGTCCGCTTGAACTCCGAAGAGTGCGCCGACGTCCTGAAGCGGTGGGTTGACCACCTCTGCTCTCCCCAAGTCAACCGGAAGTCGAAGGCCCTGCTGGTCCTCCTCTCCCTGGGCTGCTTTTCCGGCGTGGCCGAGATGCTTCACAGGTCCAGCTGCGGCCCCGCCTGATCACCTCTCGCTCGCGCGTGTTGCCCGGAGCACAGGGAGAAGCGTGTGTTCTAGCCTAAGAAACTAGCAGGAGAGGAACAGTCTGTGCTTCTCTCTCTGTTTGCTTGAGGGGCTGTGAGAGATTCCTGCCTACGCGCAGGTGGGACGGAGCAGGTGCCGGTCTGGAAAGAACGGGCCTTCAGAGAGGCGGGATGGCTCAGCTGAGAGGGCAGCCGTGGGGGGGTGGAGGGGGGCTCGGGCAGCGGGGTCTTCCCTGGAACTCTCGAAGAGGGATGCCCGTGACCTAGTATGGGACACGTGACTTATTTAAAAGTAAGGAAGGTAAATAAATAGATTAAGTGTGGCAAAGATGACTTCTTAAATGCGGACACTGGGCACATGCCTGCTTGTCCTGCCTCGGAAGATTTCTGTGTATTTTAGCTGCTCCACATTTTTTGGGCATTAATGAGAGAGCGTGGGCCTCGGGACCCGAATGTGCTGCCCTGCTTCCCTGCGCAGGCCAGGACATAGAGAGGTGCTGGCGTAACTCACGTAGCACTTGGGTTTCCAGGGAAGATGTGTGTCAGTCTTTGCGTAGAACTACACTCTCGGACGGTTCTACCGCCAGACGCGCCACCGCACAGCGCCTGACTGCTGTCTCCTCTCTCTGCCGCGCAGCATGAGGCACTTCGACCGGGCGGCCTTATTCGTGGAAGCTTGTCTCAAGTACGGTGCGATCGACGTCAGCGAGGACGCAGATATCCTTTGCCAGGGTGCTGTCGGGAGGGGAAGCAGGGCACTGGGTGGGCTCTAGAGTCCCTCTTGGCCGTGCTGTTGGGGCAGGAGCTGCGTGACGTGGAGAAAGGCCCCCGTCCTGATTGTCCAAAGCCAAGAGAGGGGGAAGGTGGCAGGGGGAGAAACAGCGCACTGGGAATAAACTGACATGTTTATTTGGAAAATACTTACACGAGTAAGTAAAGAAGACTGGTCATCAGCCATAGTGACAGTCTAACGTGGGATAAGACGGCACTTCCAAGAGATGGGCCTCGGGCCCTTCTGTGACGGGACCGTTGTCTCTCTTCCCGAGGTCAGTTGAGTCACCTGCTTTTCTTCCACAAGAATGGGCTTGAGGTCACAACTCCTGCTTCCTTCCTGTGCAGACCTGCCTGGTCTCCTCGCACGTTTTCTGTACATTTTTGTCACGGAAATTCAAACTAAACAAACCTACTCGGGGTCATGTATCGGTATCGGCCAAGCTGGCTGTGGCCCGGAGGAGCCGTTTTGACTCAGGACAAGGTGGCGCGCGGGGCCACCTAGAAACCCGGAGCGCGGCTGCCCGGAGCTCCCACGAGGGCCAGGCTTTGTAAGTAGAACCCTTCACGAGGCCAGACACGGAGACAGCACGTTCCTCGTCTGCTGTCATTCTGGTTGTCGCTTGCAGGTCGTGCGAGACCCGGGGGTGTCAGTTGGGTCCTCTGGGGGAGGGCAGAGCTTTGGGCTCCAATGTCCTGAGGCCACAGATGGGGCGTCACCGCCCCCAAGCCAGGCACGGCCCCTCTCTCTCGCCTGTGGGAGCCTGGGTGGCGGGGAGTCAGGCCCTTGCCGCCCCTCTGCTCCTTAACTGTGCTTCACAGAGACTCACCTCCGCCATATACACCGATTACGCCCGAAGTCTGAAGAACCTCGGTTTCAAACAGGGAGCAGTTCTTTTTGCTTCGAAGGCTGGAGCTGCCGGCAGAGACCTGCTGAGTGAGCTGCAGTCCCCCAAACAGGAACTGGCTGAGGAATGACCGGCGAACATGTGCCAGGAACTCCCACCTCCGGCCAGGCAAGGTGGCCGGTGGGCCGCCCGTGGTCCCAGTCGCAGCCCAGACGGATGGAGACTCGGTCCAATCCCAGGGCCTTGACCTGTGTTACCGCACTTCAAAGGCCCTGCGTGGACGCCATCACGCCCGGGGCTCATTTTGTGTCCTGTGTTCATCTCAGGGGACATGAACGCCCCAGATTTCCAAAGTGTAGAACATTCTGTACTTTTGGAGAGAGAGTTTGTCTTTAGAAATAGTTTAAATTGTTTTTAAACTGAAAATTCAAGTGACTGAATTTCTTTTCATACTGATGAAATTTAAAGGTATTTGAAAATCTGTAGCAAAAAAGTTTGAGAGCCCTGTTCTCTGGTATGTGCCATGCCTGTGTTTGTTTACAGTCATTTCAGATACAGGCAGAAACACCACAGCAGTAAAGGTGACGGACCAGAGTATCCTTGTTTCCTGACCTGGGGGACACACCACTGTTCCCCCGAGTTTGCGCACTGGCCACATTTTGTAATTTCGGGCTCATAGGGAAATACTAAGCTTCACGTTTTGTTGTGGGGTCTTTGATCTTTTGAATTTTCATTCCTTCTGTGATGTATTACACTAACCCCCTTTTTGAAATCTTTGTGCTTTAATTTTCTGTCTTTGTGGTCTTAATGAGATGTGACTTATAAATTATCGGCTGAGAATTTAGACGTCTGTAACTTACGGAAATGATAAATAAAAAGGAAATTCCAGCCGGGCCTCGTGTTCTCTTACTGTGCGTGGGCTGGGTGCTGTGGGGGCGGGGATGGGGGTCCTCACTGCCGCTGCCTGTCCCCCAAAGGCCGGGCCGCTCCCCGAACCCGAGAGACCAGGCCGTGGGAGCGCGGAGGGTGCGCATAGGACAGGACCGGGCCCTGCACCCGAGCAGGCCCGCCCGTGGGTCCCGAGGGCAGGGTTCAGCTGTGGCTCTCACAAGTGAGACGGGGAAGTGGCATTGTGTTCCCCCCACCCAGGTGCCCGGGGTGGCACACGTCCGCCCGGCGGGAGGTGGGGTTTTCAGGGACACTGCTCACCTGTACCTGCCTCCTCGGCGTGGAGCCGGGTCCCAGGTGGGTCTGTCCCAGGACTGCCTGTTTCGGGGCCGCGCTGTGGCTGAGCGACCGGGAGGAAATCCAGGGTTCTGCCGTCGGGGCTGTGACTGGCTGGGTTTACTTGCCTGTTCTCTGCCTGCGCGGGTTGCAGCGGAATTTCTCAAGGCCATGGGCAAACACAGCTCTCCTTACGTTATTTGAATAATGGTCCAGATACAGTTCATTTATTCGCCAACTAAAGGAAACAAGAATCCCGGTCTTAGTAAGCAGGGAGGAAAACAAAATTGTATCCCACGGTAGGGTATTTAAAAAACTAAATACACTTTGGACTTGAGGCCAAGTGACGCAGGTAGCCGTGCACTGGCTGGCTGTGGGGCGAGGGGGCGGCCCGCTGGGCGGAGAGGCGAGACCCTGGATCTTTGTTCTTCCCTACCGGGTAAAGGCCGGTCAGTGTCAGTTCCAAGGGCAAGTCCCATTCGCTGTGTGTCGCTGGGCACTCAAGTAGCAGGGCGTCTAGTTCTCTCCTAGTAGACCTCAGGGCAGCATCCGAAGGAGCTGAGAGACCCTCAAGGGGACCGGTCAGGAATTCTCTACAGAACCGAGTCTCACGTGCAGACAAACTCACTTGTGCTTACTGCCGGGACGCCGCGTCCTGCAGGACAGGGTTGTGGTTCCGGGAACCATGGGCCCTGCGGTCGCCTGTGAGTCTCACTCACTGTCAGCTGCAGCAACTGGGATAAAGCGTCAGGGCGCAAACCCATAACAGTGCTGCAGCCAGGACCTTGGCAAGGCAGAGACCAGAACGTCCCAGGAGCCAGTGGGGCTGCTGGTGTGGAAGCCCGCTTGCGATTGGTCAGGCTCACTCAAAACAGCACGTGATGAAAGAACTTTCTGATTAAAATGCAAATTCACGTTCAATTGATCCCACCTGTGCCGGGCCTCTTCCAGAAGGAGAGAAGCAGCTGGCGTCGGAATGGGCCTCTGCCGGAACGGCTGGGCTCTAAGGAGACGGGTCGGCCCAGTAGGACCTCGGGGGAGGCTGTCCCCCTGCCTTGCCTTACAGGGTCCCTCCCTCAGGTGCTCCGCCAGCCACGCAGGACCTACAGAAACAACCCCACTCACCTCCCCCCACTCACCTCCCCCCACTGGGAAGATCTTCAGCCACTCTCAGGCGAGTCCCGAGACCATTCCGGGCATCTTTCTTCAGTGTTTGCCTTTCAGGCACAGGCCCCCGCCCCCGTGGCAGTGGGCCTGGGAAGCCACACGCGTGCGTCCGTGTGCTAGCCAGGCTGACCCTGTCTTGTTCCCGGTGGTCCTGAGGTCAAAGGCACCAACAGACGATAGAAAACCTTACATCCAAGAGCTGTTTTCAGCTTCAGAACATTTCTAAGCACATCTCAATTTTAATCCACATGTCTCCTAAAATTCTGCTACAAGACTCTCACGGTATTTTAATCTGCCCTCTGCCATCTCTGTGAAGCCGCACGCTCCGGGCAGCGCGGGAGAGGAGAAATGGCTACGTCCTCAGAGGGAGGCCCTGGTTGCTGAATCGAATCCCTGAAGATCCCACTCAGGGTCTCTGGGCCCCACGATGCCAGCCGCGATCGGTCCCACATGGGGGACCAGGGAGTGGAACAGCAACCAGGAGGGACGAGTGGACACGTCTGCGATGGGATCGGATGAAAACGCTCCGGGAGGAAATGGACAAACCGTGTGTTCTCACAGGCATGTTGAGGAAGCCACGAGGCCCAGGAAACAAGACCTCCTCGGGCCGATTTGGGGGAACGACGCCGGCTGCCTGGGGAAGAACCGCCTGCCTGACCACCTTTAGTTCTCCGCCCCTTCCGTGTGGTTTCCCGCCTGTCAGTGGGGAGCTGAACAGAGCCACAGGCCTCTGCTCATCTTAAATTACTTATCTCGGCCAAAAGTAGCCCAAGGAAAATACACCTTGGCCCTTAAAGAGCCAGCAACCCGGCCCGGAGGACAGTATCCACGCCTGTGCTTCTGGAAGGGCCGTCGCGCGTTCCGGGGTCCGCTGGAGCCACACGGGCTGAGCCATCAGCCAAGCCCCGGGCTGCCCTCTCCGCCGAAGCGAACCCACTCAGCACTGAACTCCCGTGCCCCGGACGTGGGACTGAGAATGAGTGGGGCTTGCAACAGCCTGTCACCGCTTCGGCTGCCTGACCCTGGGCAGGTTGTCACCTGAGCCTCATTTACAAAATAATGAGGACACTGTCACCTCCTGTGGTGGTTGAGAGAAGAAGGTGACAGATGTCAGATGCAAGGGCTTGTTGTCACTCTAGAGGACTCCACGATCCTGAGTAGTTATTCAGGGACGTGCTGGTCTGTCACCTGGCTGCTCCTTGGATAATGGAGGAGTGTCAGCTTTCACGACAGCCTGGGTCACAGGTGGAGCTGGGATTAGAGCAGGGAGGGAGGGAGAGAGGGACGTAATTTTCTAAAAAAACTGAAAATGGATCTGCCTTTTGACCCAGCAATTCCACTGCTAGGATTATATCCTAAGAACCCTGAAACACCAATCCAAAAGAACCTATGCACCCCAATGTTCATAGCAGCACAATTTACAATAGCCAAGAGATGGAAGCAACCTAGGTACCCATCAGTAAATGAATGGATCCAAAAACTATGGCGCATTTACATGATGGAATTCTATGCAGCAGAAAGAAGGAGCTCCTACCCTTTGCAACAGCATGGATGGAACTGTAAAGCATTATGCTGAGCGAAATAAACCAGGTGGTGAAAGACAAATACCGTATGATCTCACCTTTAACAGGAAGCTAAACAACAAAACAAACAAGTAAAATGTAACCAAAGACACTGAAATAGAGAACAGGCAGAGTCTCCGCCCACCTGAGACAAAACCACCTTCCTGCAGCCCAGCCCTGGCCACCTCCACATCCCTCCCCACGGGGACCTTCTTCCAGGGACGCCATGCCAGTGGGAGGCATGAGGGACACTGGACATGAAGACAGCAGGCCGGTGTGCGTCAGTGAGGCGGCCACAGCACTGGAGACCGAGTGACCAGGGAGCAGCCTGCAGGGACGGAGGGGGGCGGTCAGCGGTGGGTGGCCGATAAAGAAGAGACCTTCCAGCAGAACGGACAGCCTGACTGACGAGGGGGACTGACCATATTTGGTCTGAGTTTGGGGAGGCTGGGCTCTACCTGGGGACTGCGGGGAGGCAGGTGGGCTCTGTGTGATGCCTTCAGGCCCCGAGCCTGGTCCCCAGGAGCAGGGGGGTGAGAGCACATGAACAATTCCCTTCATTTCTGACAACCAGATGCATCTGCCCTCGAGGCCACAGGCCCAGTCGGGGCAGCTATGAACCGATTTATCTGCCAAACTGGAACGGGGTCCACCCTTCGGTGTGGGGGGTTCTCCTTCCGTATTAAAACCCTTGATAAGTGCTGGTGCTCATTTTCTGTCCTTATTTTCCTCTTAAATGAACAGCAGCTGCCTTGGGGGAACTGAAACAGGCCCGTCGGCTGGAAACCCAAATACTGGCCCACAGTGTCCCCTCCATCCCTTGGTCAAGGACTTCGGAACACGGCGCCTTCCTTTCCGGCTGCCTCCGAGGTGGCTCCGTCTCCAGTTCCGAGGCCAGCAGACAGCAGCGCAGCGGCCGGTGCCTCACGCCAACCGGGCCTCTGCGGCCACCAGCTGTCCGAATCCTGGCCTCCGGGCTGCTACCATTGAGGGTTTGGTCTGCGGGGAAGGCCCGGTGGAGTAAATTCAAAGAATTAACCTCCAACACCCTCAAGGGCCCCACTGTTAGGACCAAAGATGAGCAGAAATTAAAACTAGGCAGGGCCTACAGTTGCACTGGCCGTGGGATGCTGCCCGCACTTTGGGAGGGTTGGGGGGGCGCAGACGGTGAGGGGGCCCCGGAGAGGCTGCTCCCTTGGTTTGCGTGGGCCTCGGGGCCCACCTCTCCCCTCCTCCCCTCCCCCCGCCTCTCCTCTCCTCTTCTCTCCCTCTTTCCTCTCAATCACAGCAACGTGGCAGCTGGCCTCCCAGGTGTAACGGCCCGTGGAGCCCCTTGCCCCTCAAGGCCTGTAGAATACGAGAAGAAGCAAGACGCAGCTAACACGGAGTGGCCTGAGCTCGCTGCTCGGTGCCCAGGAGGGGCCGGCGAAGGCTGACCCATGAGCCAAACAAGACCAGCTCCCGTGCAAAGACACAGCGAGGGCGCTGCTTGCTCCCGCCTTCAGAGAACATGCCCGGGAATCGGGGGAAACTCCCTTTGGGGGCCTGGGTCCGCCCGAGCCAGGGCCGCTTTCTCCCTCCGGTCATCGGACTGGCGCCAGGTCAGCGGCAGTGTGTAGGCCGGAAACCGTGAGCGGCTGAGACAACCTGCTTTTCAAACACGAGTGGGAGTGGGGCTGTGAGTTTGGGGGTGAGAGGCCAGGGGCTTGTTGCCAAGTACCTGGATGCTCAGCGAGTCTCAGGGCTGCATGGGCCCTCGAGCTCCTGGACCTTCAGACAGGTCACGGTTGAACCCAGCTCGTCCTGGGAAAGAAAAGCCCCACAGCCACCCTCCCACAGCCTGTCAGGGACACGCACGTCCCCTGTGCCTAGGACAAGGGCACCGGATCCTGCCGGCATTGCTGACTGTCCTGTAGGGGTTGAATGGCATCCCCTTCAAAAGAATGTTCCATCCGAAAGCATGGATAGGACCCGACTTGGAAACAGGCTCTTTGCAGCGTCATTAGTAACGACCTTGAGATGAAGCCATTGATCCAGTGACTGGTGTCTTCGTAAACAAAGGACAGGACACGGACAGAGAACAGGTGGCCATGTGGACAGAGATTGGTATGACGCAGGGTCAAGCCAGGGACACCAAAGATCCACGGAAGCCACCAGAAGTTAGGAGAGAGGAAGGCTTCGCCCCTGCAGCCCTCAGAGAAGGGGCGGCCCCGCCAACCCTCTGAGTTTGGACACCTGGCCTCCAGAACTGAGCATAAATGTCTACTGTTCCAAGCCACCAAGTTCTCGGTAAGTTGTTAATGGCAGCCTGAAGAGACCAACACACCTCCAGGGACCAAAAATGAAGACCCAGGTTGCCTCTGGGCCTTCAGGTGGTGGGGTGACCCCCACTCTCCGCCCGGAACAACAGGAACCCAACTTGACTCCCCCGTCGGCCCCTGGCCGAGGGCAGCCAGGGGGCACCCTCGCTCACATCTGTTTCACTCAGTCCATTCTCTCTGGGAAGGACCCACTTTTCTAGAAGAAAGGGACGGCTTTCAGTGGCACCTGTGGACCCGGAAATTGCCGTTTCAATCAGATTTGCACTCAAGGCTCTGGGCTGCCGGTCCCGCCCTGTTCAAGTGCCCGCACGCTTTGCTGGGTCTCCTCCTGCCGACAGCAGAGAAGCGTGGGCGCCAGCGCTTCCTATACCCACAGCCCAAGAAAGTCCCACTTGGCCATCAAAGCCCCCCAGCCCCCCACCGTGGGCTGGGGATCATGCCAGAGCCAGGGATGCGGGGCGGCTTTAGCTTTTCGAGCTTCTGAAGCCAAGAATCCCTTTTCCCAGTACATCCTACTAATCTGTGTTCCTCGGAACTGCTGCATCCGGTGAAATATCAATACATATTTGTAAATGCGTTACAGCCAGATACATGTTGGAACTACCCAAACACACGGAGTCGAGTGCAGGCCTTCTCAGGGCCTCACTAAGCCAGACACAAGGTGTGCTTGTCCAAGTGAACGGCCCGTATTTGGGATTCCCGCACCGACTTACTCACAGGTCCCCCGTGTTCAGCCTGCTCCTAGCGGACTGTGCCTTTGACCTTCAGTGTTGAAGACGTTCCTTCCTCCCACGCAGCTCGGACCTTCCCAAATAAAAAGCAAAAACAACGTTGTCCTATTCCTGCATTTTTCATGTCTTACTTTAATTTTAAAGCTGCACATGTGATAAGAGAGTCTGTTCTCCCCCCCCCCCCCCCCCCCCCCCCCGGCTTCCGTTTCCAATGAGACAGCAAAGGGTCCCGCCTAGACTAGTGCCTCAGAAGGCCCGGGGGCTGCTGAGCCTCTGAGCCCGAGCCCCGCCAGGCGGCCCGAGAAGCTGCCTTCCCAGCCAGTCCCTGGTGACACCCATGCTGCCGGCCCAGGCACCCTCTTTGTAGGGTCCACGAGCCACGAGACTTGCTGCGTGGCCCAGATGAAATCACTGCCCATTCCGAGCCTCAGGTTCCCTGCAAGTAAAGAGAACCCCTTAGAAGGCGGTTCTGTGTGTGGAGCCTGGCGCCGGGCCCTGCGTTGGTGTGCCCCAGCCTGCGCCCGACAGCAGGGGGCAGCAGAGACTGGGAAACCCAGTCTCCTCGGGCAGCTCAGCGCAGTGCTGGGGCTCGGTTCTCGGAATCTCAGTCTTTTGATTGAACAAGCAGCTTTCTGGCAACTGTGCTCCAAAGCCACTGGCCCGAGGAGCAAGAAATTTCCAAACCCGTTGGGGCTCTCTTCCGCAGCTGGGAGGAGAGGACTGACGCCTGACATGGAAGTTGATTCGTCAGAGTCACATACTCTGAAGAGGCCTTGACAGCCCTTCTGCACACAGGGAAACTGAGGCCTGCAGAGGGAAGCCGTGGCCCAGGGTCGCAGGTCGGCGGCAGGCTCAGCCCTTCCCCCACCGCACTGTAGGCTTTCCTTTTCTTCCTAGGGGAGAATCAGGCCGGGGCCTTGCAGACTAGCTTTCTTCCAGGGGTCTCTGGGCAGGGTGGTGCTCCAGAGGAGGCCCTGGGGGTCAGGGGTAAGGGAGGGACATGAGTGTTTCCCAGACGGTCCACGTGAGTTTAGAGCCCCCTCCATGTGCAGCTGGGAAAGGGAGTTCCCTCCAGATATTTGACCCCAGGGTCCCCAAACTCTTTAGCGCCAGTGGGTAATTCCCTGTCTGAGCCGCTTCGGCCTGTCTTCAGACGGAGAACCCTGCCCCTTCTCCAGGTGTGCCGTGTTGCCATGGAGGGCCCACAGTGGTGGTTCCCACACTTCCACGCACCCGAGTCACCCGAGGGGGGAAGAGGCAAAAGAGAGTTTCCAAGCCCCGCCCCTTCCCCAAGCTCTGCCCCCAGGACCCCATTCATCAGGTCTGGGGGTCAGGTCTGGGTGAAGACAGGAAAAAGGGCATGACCAAATTGGAAATTCCCCCCAGTCTCTGTGCCAGGAACCACCCCCCCACCCCCCAAGGAGGAGGACTGGTACAGCTGGCGACCCTCCAGCTGCCCCCTTGCTCCCTAACGTCCCGCAGGCCCAGAGCAAGGGCAAAAGTGGGCGCTCCCTACTGTGTGTCTTTCACTAAAGTGTTTTTCGTCAAAATAACAAGCTGCTCAATAGAACATGGGTTACTTTTCTACCTTAGTAAATACACCTTCCCCCTCATCTGGAAGGCCAGGTCTGAATTCAGAAACCTTGGAAGTTGCTGTCAGAGTCCAGGCAGGGCAGAGAGAGATCGGCCGGGGCCCCCCACTTTGGAGGTGCACCCCAACTTTACCAGGGCCGTGTGCACCCCCAGCTCCATGTGTCCAAGTTCTCTCCACGCCCACATTTCCAGCCTGCCGTCACCCACAGGAGAGAGGCCGCCCAGACCCGCATGGCTCAGGGCCCCTGGTACTCAAGATGGACTCGGAGAGAAGACCGGACACAGGACTCAGGAGGCACGTCCGGCCCCAGGGGGCACTTCTTCCCACAGATGGGGCCTGGCCCCAGGGCAGAGCGGGTCTCACCCTCCTGTGGGGTCTCCTCCAGGACGGCCTCACGGGCAGCAAAGCCGACTGCTCTGCCCTTGGAAGACCTGGTGCTCCGTGCTGACCACTGTGCTCTTCCTCGTCACGTGGCCTCTCCCCTGTGCTCCCCGGGACCCCTGCCAGGGCCCATGTGCCTGCACCAGGCCCAGGTTTGCCTGCTATGGAAGCAGACACTAAAACATAGCGGATTCAGGCAGAATTCTCAGTTCCTTCCAAGAGAACACAGAGGCAGGGCCGGAGGCTGTTGGGGGCCCGTGGGGCAGTAGGGAGTCTCTAGGAGGGGCTTCAGGGGGCAGGACCATGGGATGCCATCCACCCCTTCCCTCGCTGTAGGAGGTTGTCAGAGGGCCCTTGGAGGGAAGCCCGACCCACCTGCCACTTCCAAGGGGACAGTGGGCGCAGGGGACTTGGCCACTGAAGGCTTTCTCGAACCTTGGGGCAGCCTGACAGGATGGGGAGAGCAGCCATCCAGGGCCGAGCAGGCTGCCTGGAGGTGGGGCTGTAGGAGGGCCCGCCACTCAGTGGGAAGGTGCAGACGGCTGCCGGGACAGGCCCAGCGCCTCGGGGGCCGGTGGGCCAGCTGCAGCGTCCTCTTGGGGGGGGGGGAGAGGGGTGTGTGAGACAGAAGGCTGTCAAAATGCAGCTTTCTGGGCCCCATGCCACCCCTTCTGAGTCATCGGAGCTGGGAATCTACCTTTTAATAACAAGTCCCTTCCAAAGAATTTAGTTCACACGAAAGTATAAAAAGCACCACTTGGAAACATTTTTCCATCTATCTAGTCAACAGACATCTGCAGATCATCCCCTCCCTCGGTACTTTCTAATTCCTGTTTCCTGTGGCAAAAAAAAATTCCTCCTCTCTCCAGGCAGATTCCCCCTCTTCACTGTTCTCCCTGAAATCTCACCTCCTTGGAACACTTTTTCCAAAACAGCTGCCACCTCCAGGCCCTCTCCACCACATCCCTTAGTGCTTGTTGGGCTTTACCACAGGCACACACTAGCTCATTTGTGTCTGTATTTCACTCATTGCTGTGTCTCCCACTCTAGAATATAAGCAAGGCCCACCCAAGGCAAGGGCCTGATACCCTGTGTTGCTGGCACATAATAGGCTCCACGTATATTTGTTGAATGATGCGTGAGGCCACTTCTCATAGTAGGACAACGGGGCAGGCGTCTGCTGGAGAAAGAAGACGTTTGAAACAAGGGAAGGTGTGGGTGGCGGGAAGACCCAGCATGGCTGCCTGCCAGCTTCTCTCCAGGGACCCTCACCTATGAAAGGCAGAGAGGAGGAGAGGCCGAGAGAGCTCACCAGCGGGCCTCCTCCCCCAGGAGGGAGGATTCAGGGCTCAACACGCTTCCTGGGGCCGGGTCTGTACAGGCAGGAGGAAGCAGCCGCTCGGCTCCCAGGCTGCGCCAGCCCGAGGCCCGGCGGTTTGCAGGAGCCTCCCCAGAACCTGCTTGTGCGAACTCGCCCGGCTGGCACGCACGGACTGTGTTTTGGCTGCCTTGTTAGGAGATTAAGCTTTCTTTTAAAAAAACAAAAAAAAAGTCTTTAGCAAAGGCTCGACTAGAGCTGACCCCTGAGGAGGCGGCAGCAATAACTGATGGGCACTATATTCATCTAATTAATCTTCTTGTCAACAGAGTTGTTCGTTGCCGGTGCCAGCTCTGACGTCACCCCGCAAGCTTGCCACACTGGTTTGTACCCAACTACAAAGGCCACCTCTGACCCAGCCCTGAGCTCCCAGCCGCACCCCCAAACACCGCCCGTGGGGCCCTGGCTGGGCTGGGAACCGGCGGTGGGAACGGAGGTGCCCCGTGCCTGCTAGCTCGGGGCGGGGCCGTGGGGGCCCACAGCTTGAATGGAAGGTGGGTAGGGACTTGGAAGGAGTCTCGTTCCCAAACAGGACTCAGAGATGCTGAGCGTTTTCTGCTGCTTGAGCTCTGGGAGGTTCCATTCCACAGGGCAGATTGCTGCTGTCATAGCTGGTTGGCCCTAAGTGACAAGTTCCTCCAGGACCCAAGCGGGCATGTAACTGAGTCTGACGGGGCTCAGGAACTGGGGGAGGGGGCGCTCGGACCGTGGTCCTGGGCAGGAGACTGGGATTTTCAGACTGTGCTGGTCTGTGAGCCAAGTTCTGCCCCCTGGCAGGCACGTCTTACCTCTGCATGTGGCTTCTTAATGTCGAGGGTCATATCCCAGACTGCCCCTTTGAACTCAGGACTTTCCTCTGGTTTTACTGTCAGCACACATCACCCTGTTGATTTTTAAAAAAGATTTTTAATAGAGAGAGGAGGAGGAAGGGAGAGAGACAAGAACATCAGCCCTTCATTTCGCCCATGCATGCACTCATTGGTTGATTCCCATATGGTTCTTGCATTTGCCCTAACCAGGAATTGAACCCCCAACCAGGTGTATCAGGATGATGCTCTAATCCACTGAGCTCCCGTCCAGGGCCACACTGTGGGCTTTTTTTGCAAAACCTTCAGTGCCATCCACACTCATCCTGTTTATTTATTATTTATTTTCTGCTCACTACCAGCTTCTTAATCAAGAGATCCGTGCACAAAATATAGGCGCCTCGTGATTTGGATGGGGAAGCGTTTATAGCATTACTTGCACTAACTTCTAACAGAAATTAAAAGTTTCTGTTTTATATATATAACACATCGCAGTGGCTGCAACTTTGTTGCCAACAGAAATCACAGCTCTTTTTGTATCACAAGGCAGTTGGTGCAGTTACTCGTCTGTGCTCATCCCTGTTTGAGAGGACGTAGTTAGTAACGTGCTGGTCCGTAGCTCTGTTATAACATAGTAACAAAGAACATGACCATGTCACAGTTTTAGAAATATCTTGCCTGTGATTGCTTTATAGTACCTATGCATCTCAATGTGTTTTCAAACAGTGTGAGCAAGGGGCCCAGGAGCCTCCCCTGACCATCTTTCACCCACCCCAGTATTACCAGCACCTGCCTCAGGTCCCGGCACGCAGCGGGCGCTTATTACACGTTTGCTGACTGACTGAAAGAACCAGCCATAAAGTGAATGAATGGTGGCATGCGCCTTAATATGACCTATGCTGTACGCCTGAAACGAATGTAACTGTTGCATGTCAACTATAGTTGAAAAACTTATTTCTAAATTCCAGAAAATAACACGATCTTGCCCGGGTTTGGGAACCCGTGTATCCCCAAAGACGCAGAAGGTTCTGGGACCCTTCACTGGATGCACTTTCTCCACAACAAACCCACGGGCCCACCAGGAGAGGCTGGGGGCCTTGCTGCCTCCTTCGAGTTCAGGGATGACCAAGGAGTCCCCGCCAAGCAGGGTCCCACCGGGCCCTTCCCTTTTCCGTGCTGCTACACGCTGCCCGCACCCTAAGCTACAGACTAGGGATGTTCCCAGAAGTCCTTTCACACCCCCGCCTTTTGCCCAACTCACTCTAGCGGTGAAGGTCGGAGCCTTCGACTGAACTTCCCTATCTGGCCACGTGATGGCGCTGTGTCCCTGACTGTGGAGGCTCCGCGCGTCTCACGGCTGCCCAGGCTGAGGTTAATCAGCAGCGAGTCAGTTACCCATCAGTTGGCCATCAGTTACTCAGCTCCACGGGCCTGGAAATCATCTCCCGCTGGAGAGAGGAGAGAGGCCGGGTTCTTGCAGCCGGGGGGTGGGGTGGGGGGGGGGGGGGGATGAAACCCCAGGAGCCTGTCTTTGAGAGCCATAGCCTAGAGGTCAAGTGCCCGGTCCTGAGAACTAGATGGACTTGAATTCTAATTCCATCACTGCCTTTCTGCCACCATGTTTCTCTTTTGCAAAATAAGGATAGGAATGGTCCTGCCAGTTAGTTGGGTTGAAAACGATGATGCTGGAAAAAGGATCACCTTGGCACAGAGCCCTGCGACCCGGTGCACTGTGGGACTGAGCACCGTCACCCCTTCTGACTGCAGCCATACCAGCCTGTCGTTGGCATCAGCAAAGGAGACAGCGTCCACCCCGCATAGCTGCAGAGCTGAATGAAAAGCACGACAGCTCGTACCAGTCTTGGCACACTGGAAAAGCCAAGGACAGCTAGTGGGCCCTCATATCGTTCTTCCGCGCAATACGCACAGGTAGGCGGAGACCAAGGCAGCCTGCTGCCGCTATACTGTCAGCCCAGGGCCAGGGGTTCATGCCAGGAGAAGGGGGCCCCACTATGCCTGGCTCTCCAGTTTCCTGGAGAGAGCTTAGGCAGTGGGGATTACTACTTTTAGAAGGTTTACTCTTGGAAAACTGGTTTCTGCTCAGAAGAAAGTAGCTTGGGAGATCCAAGAGGCCCCACTGAAACCCAGGGAGGTGTTTTGAGACAGAGCAAGACACAGTCTTGCTTGCCCTTGAGGCTGTGCTGGACTGGTCCTAGGGCCAGGGTCCTTCCCTCACCCCCAACCCTCCCCCTCTCCCCCCTGCAGTGCCAGGGTGCAGGGCCCCTCCTGGCCTGTCCCTGTGTGTGGTCACTGGGGCATGCAGGCTCGAGCCGGCCCACTCTGAGTCAGCCAGGGCCCAGGGTGTCCATCCACAATGAAGAGACTCAGGTCAAGAATGGGAATTCCTGTGGTTCCCAGCCTAGGAAGGTTTCAGGTGGTAACTCCAGACAATCGGAGGCTGAGTGAGCCTGAAAGGGCCAGTGTTACTGTTTAAAGTGTTATCAGTTTAATGAACTGCTTACGAAGTGTTAAATGCAGGCGAGTGTAAACGCGCATCTGGGCTTGCGTTTTATTTGTAGACTTCAAACTGGGCGCTGGGCGTTTTGAAAAATGCCAATTAATGGTGTAAAATCAGAATTTTTTTTTTTTAAAACTCGGAATTTCTAATGGGGAGGAAGGGTTTTCATACTGCCTCCTTAAATGATCTCAAAACATATCCAAAACACCAAGGCATTTGCACAAAGACAACACAACCACAAAGACTTAAAAGATCTTGTTAAATAAATGGAAGAAGCAGTAATTTACTACTCTGTTCTGCACTGTTGCACAATTCGGTGTGTTTCTGCTGGAGGAAAGAACGAAGAGCTTAGCATCAGAGGTATTATCAACACTGATTTCCCAGAAGCTGCTCTAGAAAACTTGTCATTTCTGCCCATTTCTGGCCAGAAAACAGACGGTTCACGGGAAGACTGAGTACGCTTCCACGAGAAAAATTTTCTGGCTGCCCTTTGAAGCAATGAAGTTGGATTTGGAGCGAATGGAAACATTGTGAAAGTGCTTATTTTCTTCCAACATTTGTATTTTTCTTCCTTATTTCCTGTTAAATCGGCACTGCTCATTAGCAACCATATTTTTGCGTTACACACTCAGCAGAATTTTTGCTCTGTGACTGTATTCCAAATTAAACGTTTAAGTTTCCAGGGAAAGTGCAACAAATGTTTAAATCAGTCAGAACTTAAACTAATGAGAGAACGAGGGAAAAACACAACTTCCGTCTCCTGTACGACCACTGCTCTTTATCTGCTTCCCACTTTGGGAGCTCTTTTCTCTCTGGGGTCCTGAGAGGGCTGTTCACAAAGCAAGAAGTCTCAGGAAACACCGAGACGTCTGGACCTAGAGCTGTTGAAAAGTCTGCCCAACCCTGGTTTCGGGGAAAAACTCGGGCAGGGTGAGGCAGTCTGACAATCTGGATGGACTGTCCACAGCCAGTCACACCGTCGGAGCTGGGAAGGCGTCCAGTCTGGAAGCCTCATTTTGCAGATGGCGTGACAGCAGCGCACCCGAGATGATGCGGTGATAAAGCTCAGATCGAGCCCAAACTCTGTGCTCTGTGTTCTCTGATGAGCAGCCTCTTGTCTTGTGTAGGGGTCTCCCTGCCAGGGTGCAACGTAGCTCAATGCAAGTCATTGCTTTCTAGGTGAGAGCAAATGACACCTTAGTAAGAAGAGGGCAACCACAAGTCCATTTTCTTTCCGTGGGAAACTGGGTAGGGCCCAAGCTCCATCTCCATTCTGCCCTTGTCTGCTCCTCCATTCCAGAGCAAAAGGTGGAATGAGCACGGCAAAACCCAAAGGGCATCTTCTGGGGAACAGCCGCACACTGAACTCTGACCCCGAGACAGCAGGATGGCTGCTCAGATCGACAAGTATATTCTGGTGAGACGGGCAGTAGCTCCTTCTAAGGGCATTTTGACTCAGCCCAGAATGTTTGGAGAGAAGAAAAAGTGATATTAAAAATATTATACCATTGAGGAAAAACATACAAAATTTCAGTAGTCAAATGAAACCATGGACAGGTGGATCGCCACGCCAGGATGCCCGAGACACACACGCTAATCCAGTTAATGTAGATGATGCGTTAGTATGTGGTAAAGGTCCTCAAGGAAAGAGAGATTAGTCAGTAAATGATGTTAGGACCAACCATGTGGAAAATATTAAAGATAATCCCTAGCCCTCTCCATATACCAAAATAAATTCCACATGCATTTAACAGTGATACGCAAAAAATAACATAAAAAATAGGAGACATAAATAAATTTCAGATCTCAAGAAGAGGACTTTGTAGATATAAATGCTTAGAAATAGGTTAATAAATAAAAGATCACTTGGGCTGACCACAGAAACATGAAAAACTCTAGGTACCAGTAACATGGGGGAGATGTGTGTGCAAAAGACCACAAAGCATCAACCTTAGCTTAACAGGAAAAAGGCTGATGCAAAACCACGAGGAGAGTGGTCCGAGAGCAGTCCAACAATGCTAATGGGCAAAGACAAGTGAGAAAAATACCAATGTTCACGTTCGTGAATTAAACATGTAAATCAAGCCAAACGTGAACATCCCGTGAGGAGCTGTGAGCCACGCAGGTGCTGGTGGGAGGGCCCACCGACAGAAACCTTCTGGGGACCGGCCAGGTTCTTCGAGAACCGGGGCAGCCACATCTTTTCACTGGGTTTTCCTGCTTCTACAAATGCTCCCCAGTCGGATAAAACCAGAGACTTACTGAAAAGGTTTTCCACTTTCGGAGCTGCTTCAACATTTTGGGAGCTAGCCTGTCTGTCTGTACGTCCAGGAATTACAGTTGCTATCATCCACATGGTAGACTGGTACACAGCCATTGTTATTACTAGTGTATTGAGATTTAAGGAGATGAGGACATGACCATAATGTAATGCTAAGTGGAAACCTGTACATATTGTGTATGTATTTTTAAAAGACTGAAAAAAATACCCAGGAGTTTTCAGTAGGAACAGTAGGCATTGCGTCTAATTTTTCCTCCTTTCGTGTATTTTTCCATAATAAAATAGACATTAATTAATGATGGAAAACAAGTGGCTGAAAGTAACATGGTCGTTTTTGTTGGGCCCGTCACAGCCCACTGGTCACACCGGACACAGGGTGGAGCCGGGGGGAGGGCCTGTTGTCCCACAGAATCATAGCCGGGTTCTCACGAAGGAGGCCCGGCAGGCCCAGGGCCTCGGATGGCAGTCTGCTCCGCACTTGTCAAATCCCTCAGGGCAGGGCTGCCCGCACTTGTTCGGGACCCAAGGTCTCCCGAATCCCAAAGGGCCCTGGTCTCGCTCGCCCACAGCCTCTGCATCTCTACCCCTACGACGTGGGTATCATCTTCTGTATCAGGGGATGGTACTGCGAGACCAGGAGGCTCTGGAATTTTCCCTCAGGGGCCACAGCACATTTTCTAGACGGTCACTGGATGTGGCTACTCTCCCTCTGCTGAGCACCCATTCGATAAAAGAGGTCACACAGAGGGCACTGTGAGCCGAGTCCAGTAAACAAAGCGGATGACTCGGAAAACGGACAGCGGCCCCAGAAAGAGAGATGTTACAACAGTGATGGAGGCCGCTGTCACACGGGACCTCACCCAGGGCCTGAAGACATTTCCAAAGAAAGGAGGCCAGCGCCCTCCAGCCACACCTCGGGAACAGGTGCACAGAGCCTTCGAAGGGGCTCCTCTGAAGGGCGAGGTCTGGGCCCAGCTCACACCCGTGAGGTGTCTCCTTCCAAGCCTGCCCCGTTGCCTCGTGGCGCACGGCACTCTTCTGTGCAGCCATCGAACTGCCACAGGCGGAAGGCGAAGACAGTACGTCTTGGAGTGAGTGACTGACCTGTCATTCAGAGCAAAAACAAGGCAGCCCTGGTTCAACTAGGTCCTGAGGTGCTAGCTGGAGTCGGCCAGCCATGAAAGAGAGAACTTGACCCTTTCTCTTCAAAACCCCTTCAGGAAACCCCAATGTGTTTAGATGGGAGGGCTCGGATCACGTCATAAGAATGTCCTTTTTGTGTATGAGCTCATCTCCGTCCACAACCCCTAATCTCCCCCTCCCTGTGCATCCCCCTCCTGTATCCTTGCAGGCGATCATGGGGGTGGATGAGCAGGTGGGAACCACAGGTACTGCCCCGGTACCTGTGAGGCTTCTTCTGGGCCTGCAAGGCAGGCAGACCCAGATGGACCAGTCCCCGCATTTCTCCTGAGGCCACCACGTCTTACCTTTCAGTCCCCAGGCCCCACCTGACATAGCTCCTCAATCTGCCACTAGGTATGGAGCCCCCAGGGTCCTTATGCGTTTGCACTCTCCCACCAGGTGAAGCCTGCTCCCCACCTGTCCTCCCCAGACTGAGGAAGGGACTCAGCACACTCTTCAGCAGGGTCACGATTGTGGCCACGCAGATGCTCCCAGGGGACAGCGGTCGCTGCCTGCCCACTGTGCATCCTGGGGCCAGCCCCTCATGTTTCCCCACCGCTGTGCTGATAGGTGGGGCCACATAACAGGTTCTGGCCAATGGAGGTGAGAGGAAATGCCATATTGCTTTGGGGGTGAAGCATGAAATAGTGGGGTGAGGTGTGTGAGTGACCATGGGGAGCCCTGACTCCCTTCAACATCCCTCGGCCCCTGGTCACCCCATTTTGGGCGTGGAGTGAGCCTCTGTTCTGTTAAGGCACTTCAGTTTCAGGGTTCATTAGTTATTACAGTCTAGTGCAGCCTTACCTGACCAATGCGATGGTCTGGAACAGAAGACCAGGCATGTTCCTACACAAGTGGGCAGGTGGCTGAGCATGTCCATCTGAGCAGGGCGCCACGAGGGGGCCCAGGTGTGAGGAGCTATTCTACTGCTGGGAGGACGCGCTGCCTCAAGTTCGATTTGGGGAAAATTAAGGTGGGACTGGCAGTGGCCAACAAAGGACGTTTCCTTTGGACACAGTGGAAGCACGATAAGTATGTGCTACCTGACATGATTATTATGGGATGTACCTGGGATTGGCACGTACAGCAGCTGATGAGTGAGGCGGACACCTGGCGTTCCGCCCTGAGATGGAGATGCGACCACCCATGTGTACATGTGTGTGCATGTGTGTTTACATGCCTGTAAGGCCACAGGAGTTGAGAATATACCAAATAGGGGTGTTATAGCCCCATTTTGTAGTCGGCTACCCGGTGGCTCTACTCCAGAAGCCAATAGGAAATAGTGACTGATTTTTATAAACAGTAAATGACAAAAGCTGGAAAGTCAATCCCAAAAGGAAGAAAGCCAGTCATCTACCGAAATACTCGGCCACAAAGCACAGCTGTTGAGACTCGGATCTGACGCCTGGGCTGGGACCCTGGTGTCCGCCTCAGGTGTATGGCCCTGGGCCAGCCATCTAACCCCCGGGCGCCTGGGCTTCCTCATTGGGAGAAGATGTCATATTGTTGTTACAGGATTAAAAGTAATAACACTTCAAGGTCTGTATTAGGGTTCTGTTTAGCTGCTTGTAACCGAAAACAGTGGCTTAAAACAAAAGCGAGTTATTTCCTTCAGAAGGACCAGCACTAGGCGGTGCCCAGAGTCAGGGACCAGGCCTCTTCTGTGGACTTGTCGGTCTGTCTGTCGGTCTGTCGTGCTCAACGAGGCGCTTCCACCCCACAGCCCACGGTGGTCACTGGTGCCGCAGCTGGAAGGAAGGGCGGGTAGAGAAACTAGGGGCAAAAGGCCCAATCTGCTCAGCTCACTGACCGCGTCCCCAGTCCCGGGGCCACACCCGATGCAACCCTCTCTGTGAATCCACAAACAAGGGTCCACGGTGACGAGGCTGAACTTGCACCCGTGTCTCGTTAGTACCTGGAACGCTCTCAGGAGGAAAGCTGGTGCGCTCCTTCTGGAGGGCGGTGGGCTGGGTGTCCCCGAAGACCAGCTTGGAGAGTCCGACGTCTGAGAACTGCCCGGAGCAAATCGTCAGGCAAGTGAGTGAATATTTACGTGCATGGACGCTCATTGCAGAGTTGCCAATGAATATGGCAACATGATAATAGAATATGATGCAGCTGTGAAAAACAATGAATGATACATACTGGTTACCCCAGGTTCGTGAAATGTCATAAAGCGATACTATAGCTACAAAATACATGTACCACGGTCCTGTGGTACATATATATTCGTAAGGTACCATATTTGGGATTTGGATTATAGATTAATTTAATTGTATTCTTTGTACTTCTCAGTGTTTTCTAAATTTCTTTACAAAAAGAGCTACCTTTATAACCAGAAATGTATACTTTTTATAATGACCATGTTGGGGGAGGGGGCATTCTTAGTTCGTGCCAGGCACTGAGCTAAATTAACTCTTTTTTTTTAATCCTCACCTGACAATACGTTTACTGATTTTTAGAGAGGGAGGGAGGGAGAGAGAGAAACACTGATGTGATAGAGAAACATCGATTTGCTGCCTCCTGTATGCGCTGTCTGGGGATTGGACCTGCAGCCTTTTGGTGCAGGGGGTGACATTCCAACCAACTGAGCCACCCAGCCAGGGCCAAGTCCCTTAACTCTTAACTTTTTATTAGGATTCTACGAGGCTATAGTTGTTTATATTTTATAATTTGTAATAAAAACAGAGTCTCGGGATTCCCCGGCTTCACACTGCAGCAGGGGACGCCCTGGCGGGCCAGCTCCCCCCGACAGGCCTGGCTGCCACCCGGGGAACAGGCATCGTGGCTGGAGCCTCAGGAAAGTGCTGAGGCCTGGATCTTCCCAGCCAGGGCAGAATTCCTGGGGCTTGGCCATGGGGACAGGGTGAACAGATTCAGGCAGGAATTTTGTCTGTCTCCTTCTTTGTTTTTAAAAAAAATAACCACTGCCTAACCTGGGTGGAGCCCGGTTTTATCTGGTTTTCTTCAGACACTGAGCAAAGATGAGTTGCTGCTCCTTAGTTATGTATGTGGGGCCCTCTGGGCACCGGCATCTGGGGAGAACCTGTCCCGGCCCAGACCAGACTCGACTGTCAGCCGGGCCTATTCCTGCCCAGGGAAGAGCTTAACGGATGCAAGCTCATCGGCATGAGAGTTTCTCCTCGGGATTCATCCTTGGGAGTGAGGCTAAATCCCCAGCCTGGGCTTTTCTACAGTCAACACATCAAGAAACGAGCAAAGGTGGTCACAGGAACCAAAGCTGGGCTCCAGCCCTCTGTGCGTGGCACCCTTGCCCAGTACCAGCCTGAGGCTTGACAAGTTCTCAGCTTCTAGCTTTTTCCTTCTATTCCGCAACTTACAAATGGCAGAGGCTGCTGGATCTGAGGCCAGACAGCTTGGATGCAAGCTCCCACTGTGCATTTTGCCTGTGTGACCTTGAGTTAACTCTGTCTGGTCCTCAGTTTACCCATTTGAAAAATTAAGTTTAAACATCAGGTCATATTCTGCTTTGTTGGCTGTTTGTGAGAAGTCTCGGGGCAAGACCTGCATTTCCAGCCGGGACTGGCTCACCCTCAGCCTCCAGCCCACGGAGGGCAGCGTCTGCTACAGCAAACTCAAGAGTGGACTTCTTCGATGCCAAAACACCAGGATTAAAGGGCTACTGGATTTCCAGCATCAGAGAGCTTAACTGGGCTGCTTCTGTGGGCAGGGGCAAGGGCTACTTTCCAAAGTCATACCACACAGTGGTCCCCTGACCTACATAAAGCAAGTCAGGACCCCCTGGGGCCAGCCAATTGGAGCTCCTCAGGTCACATGGCAGAAGGAGGCTGAATTAGGCACAGTTTATGGGGTTTTTTTTTTCAGGGAGCTGGAGTCTCCAGGACCCGTGTAAATGTCAGTTTCATGGAAATCCATTCTAAAAGTCCCGGTCCACTCCATCATCTGCTCCCCCTTTTCCTCCCAGTTCTCCCAGAGTGCCTGAGGCGCTGCTGAGATCAGAGAGCATAATTACAAATGAACTGGGGCTCGGGGGGGGGGGGGGGGGGGAGGGCGGCTTACAGCTTAATTAGCTCCCGTCCCTGCACTGTCTCTGCTTCTGGGCCTCACACTTGGTGCAGGGGTCCCGGGTGCCAAAGAATTCAGAGTAGGAGCCTCCTGGCTTGTTAACGCGCTCGCCTCGGTCCCTCCTGACGCATCCAGGCTGCAATTAGGCCCAGCCGAGGAGAGGGAGAGGCCTGTGTGCATCCGGAGCTGGCGGGGGACCTGCCTGTCTGAGCCAGCCCGGAGGTGAGGCGCACCATGGAATGTGGAGTGGTGGCGGTCGCAGGAGCATGCACCTGCCTGGCCCAGCCCAGGTCAGGAGGCTTCAGGCTGCAGGTGTGTTTCCGGGGGCGTCTGGCAGGGCCCGCATGGAAGACACCTGGGGTTAGAGAGGCTCCTACACTGGGCGGGGGAGGGGGGCGGGGAGACAGAGACCGGGGCCTGGACTGTCTCTGGTGGGAGCCGCGGTGCTGGGGAACAGAGCTCCCCTCTTAGCACAAGCCAGGACCCCAGACAGAGCTCAGGGCTTGTAAGGTGTCTCAAAGAAGCAAGTGCACAGGCAGTCCTACCTGGAGGGCCCCTCTCAAAGGACAGTGCAAACCCCTGAGCTGATTTCTTGGTCTGCATGACTTCTTGGTAGCTTAAGGGCGGGCCTGTCTGAGTTCCCAGTCTGCCCTCCAGGGAACTGACGTCCCTCTCCCCTGGAGAGGCTGGAGCTGGGAGGAAGACTGCAGGTGGGAGGCGGGCAGGGGCAGCCAGGAGCTGAGCGTGGGGGGCTGTCCAAGAAGATAATGGAAGCAATGCCTCCCTGCTACCAGTCTCTCCGCCTCCGGCAACCCCAGCCCGAAAATCTCGAGGCACTGGGCTTACTGCCGACCCAGACCCCCCTCCTTCAAAGACAGGTTGGAAAAAGAAAATGGAAATGAATAGGTGTTCAATTATACATCTACAAAGCATAATATCACACCTAAAAGTCAACTGTCACGCTACTTTACTATTTACTTAAAAATGTGTTCCAATATTAGCCAGGGATGAATTTTAATCTGTTCGATAGAAAAGGAAATATGTTCCCCAAAAGTGAGTGCCCGGGGTACCACAGGCCCCATGGTTTTCGAGGGATGGCTGGACTGGGGCCTGACCTCAGTCTCCGGGGAAAACTTTGTCAAGGGGACCCTTTGAGCTCATACCTGACATCAGCAGGTTTCCCTGCACCTGGCAGGTTCCGGGGAGAACTGCACTGCAGACCTGGGGCTCTTTCCTTCCAAGCATGTGGAGGAGTGACAGCTAGCTTTCCATCAGCCGCCCCTGATCTCTGAGCAGCAGTTCTCTGCCCTGTTTGCTCTCCCAGACGGAGACACCCTTTGCACCATCTCCAGTTCAGAACCAGGCTGCACTTGGGTTCCGCTGGGAGGGAAAGGTGGCCCTGGGCACAGGGGCAGCCAGAGTGACTAGACACTCCCTGTATTTATATTTTAAACAAGCACTGACTAGACGCCGACCACATGGCTGGCAGGTGCTTTTTTTGAGGAGCTCAGAAGCCAGCAGGGAGACAGTCACAGCACCGGCGGGGGGGGGGGGGGGTGTGGCTCAGAACAGGGAATGCACAAAGAGCGCAGCAAGGTTTGGGGAACATGAGAGTCATTCTACCTAAAGGTCAGGAACCACACAAAGGGGACAACTGCCAGCTGGGCCTCCAATGAGGACAGGGTGTCTTTGGATCAAGCAGTGAGGGCCTGTGGATGAGAGGTCAGGGACTGGGATGGGGGCAGGTGGCTCCAGCTGGGGAGAAGGGACCCAGCATGCAGCCCAGAGAAAGTGAGGAGGTCCCACCTCGTCTACAGTGACTCCAGAAGGCGTGCAGAAGGGAATTTTTTTGGTTTCTGTGTGGCAAGGGGAGGCTGGAAGAGAGGGAAAAACAAACGGAGCCCTTTCCACTGAACACTCTGAGCGACATCATCATTACTTGTCAGTTACAGCCACGAATGGGTCACACCCACGAATGGGTCACAACCCTGGGCTATCTGTCTGCATACCCCACGGCTCCTGTACAGCTTTTCTATCCATAAACCAGAGATGTTTCCACTGAAGTGCGGGCTGGGTTTGGACCGAGATGCAGAGCCAGCCACAATCCTCCAGGCCTTGCTCCCCAAGGCGGGGTCCAGGCCCTGGCAGCATCAGCATCCCCTGGGAGCGTGTTAGAAATGCAGAATCTCAGGCTCCGCCCCAGACCCACTGGGTCAGATTTCCTAGCTCACCAGAGCCATGCTCTTCCGGAGGGTTCCTGGACCCTTAGTGGCCGCTACCTGGGGCACTGTGACCTCGAGGATGGACCCTTCCACCTTCAGGCTCAGCCCATGGAATTCGGGGGGGGGGGGGGGGCAAAACCAGGAATTATCTCCAGGTGCTAAACAAGGCTTCGGCTTCGGATTTCACTATTCCGGGCGGGAGGCCAGCCAGAAGGGGCTCAGTCACTCCCAGGCACACGGCGTCAGGAATCAAAACAACCCAGGAATGAAGGTGAGCTCATGCCGACGCCGGGCCGCCATAATTCATGCCATGGCACGTTACATGTGTTGCACTGAGGTGGCGGCTGCACAGGTGGAGTCACGCGCCCGTACCTGTCAGCACTTACATTATCCACGATTATCTGGATTTTCTTTCCCTTCTGCCCCAGAGGAGGGGCCGCCACACAGAGTGTAGCAGAGCCAAGTCGCCAGCCTCGCACTGGGAGAGAACTGTATCCAGAGACGCAAAGAATAGTCCACGTAACGTGCCGTGTGCGTGCAGTGTGCGTGCGTATGCGTGTGCGTGCGGTGTGCGTGCGCACGCACCTGCTTGTGCCCGTGCGTAGGGGGTGGGGCGGCTGCCATCCAAGCTCCTCGTTAAAGGAGAACAAGCACGTCCAGGAGAAGTGCTCTGCTTTTCCGCAGGTCACAGGGTGAGAAAAGCTCCTCGTCACATGCAGGGGCTTGAGCCTTTGAAAATAATAAAAAGGAAAAGTTTTGAATTAAAATTTATGGTTGAGCCGGCCTGTCTGGGAGAAGCGGACTTAGTGGGCACCGCTGACGCCAGCTAGGCTGCAGGGGCTGGGAGAAATTGGACACCAGCGTCCCTGTAACTGGGGCGGCGTCAACGACTCTTCCAGTGGCCAGCCTGCCAGTCCGTGCTCTAGCTGCACTTTGGACCCCCCTGGAAAGCCCTGAAAATGCCTGGGCCATGTTGCCCACCCAACCGCTCTGGATCTCTGAAGGAGGGGACCTCTCACTGAATTATTTGCGAAGCTCTCCAGGTGATTTTAATGTGACACCAGGGCCCAGAACCCCCTAGAGACTCCAGGGCTTAAGGATAGAGTAGGGGCTCCTCTTGCTGTCCCTCTCTTTCCCTATGCTGGGAGGGGCAGTAGACCTCACCCAGCAGTGGGTGCCCGAGGGGGCATCGAGCATCCAGAACTTGGAGAGTTTTATCCATCTGTGGGCCCAGAATAGATAGAGAGTCAGGGACATGGCATCAGTTCGGCGGCCAGCCCCATCCCACCCTGGCCCTGAGCAGCTGAACACTTCCATCTCCGTCTAGACAGCCATGGCAAAGAACCTGTGCACCCGAGGTCCTACTTCAACCTGCTAATGATGTAACTAATCACAAATGGCACGTCCTGAAACAACACCACGTTTTTATTGTATACATTCGTGGCTGAGACGTCGAACTTGGTCTTATGGGCTAAAAGCAGCTGTCATGGGGCCATATCCTCTCTGAAGGACAGAGGGACAATGTTTCCCCGACTTGACTGGTTTCTGGGGGCCGCCTGCATTTCCTGGTTCTCGGTCCCTTCCTCAGATAACTGATGTCTGCTCATCTCTTGTCTCCTCTGATCCGGCCCTTCCGTCTCCCTCATCGCAGACCTCCTTAGGATGAATTGCTGCAACAGGCTCATCTTCCCACCTGAAGATCCTTGACTTAATCATATCTGCAGAATTCTTTTTGCCAAGGAAGGTCACAGTCATAGGTACTGTGGATTACATGGTCCTCCACACCTTGACCACTGCCATGTGAATTAGATGTTCATTATGCCCATTCGGCGGATAAGAAAACTGATACCTGGAGAGGAAAGGTGAAACGATATTCCTGTCACTCTCTACCTTGTTGAAACAGCATCTAGCAGCCACCTCACAGGATCATCACCCATCTTGATCCTCTAGCCATGGGTATCCCCCTTCCCTCCATAAAGCACAAGGTGCCCCCTGCCCACCTTTGGGGCTGGTTATTCCTTACACCTTTGTGTTGGGCGGCTTCATGGGCACCCAGCTCCTCATACAAACTGGTGTTATGGAGACACCCATGGCCACAGCCAGGTCAGGCATGCATCGCTCCGGGGCCCAGGATGCCAGTCCTCACTGGGCGGTGCCTGCAGCTCTGGGCCTCTCCAATCCCCTGGCCTAGGCCAGTGCACACACAGGTGACACCACGTGCCTTTCCTCTGTGGCATTCATCAGAAGTCCACTGTCATTTACATACCTCTGTAATTAATCTCGGTCTTTCTCTGTCAGCTGTAAACTCCACAAGGACAGAGAATATGTTTATTTTAGCTCCCCAGGGCCTTGCAGAGTAAATGGCAGTTAGGGGATATTTAATAAAAATCTGTTAAATGAAAGAATGTTTTCCAGCACTGTAAGGCTTGCAGACTATAACTATGTCTTTGCCTTCTAGAAGCTGAAGTGGATTGATCAATGTTCTCATCTACTGCCTTCCCTGTAAGAGGACTACACATCTCCACGCATTGACATGTGACCCCTAGGGGACATTTGCAGGCTTGGCCGTGTGACATGCTTTGGCCAATGTACTACAAATGGATGTGACGGAAGCCATATCTGAGAAGCTTCAGGAGCAGTTGATAGCATGGCTCTGCCTCTCGTTCTTTTCGCTTTGCCGAGAGGACACAGCATCCTGACTGTAGGCTTCTCCTTCGGAGCACGTCCCAGGATTGGAAGATGTGTGGGGCAGAGCCACAGTGGCTACCTTGTAGCAATCCGCATGAGCAAGAATGAAGCTCTTGTTGCTCTCAGCCAATAAGAGTTGGGGATCCTTTTTGTTATCGTGGCATAACTTGAACTCCGACCAATACAGAAGTCTTCCTGACATCTCAGGTCACCTCCAGCTCTTTTCTTCTCAAATGGAGACCATGTTCTGCCACTACAAGCTCTGTGATCTTGAGAAGTCAGATAACATCTTTGGGCTTCAAACTTCCATACCCATAGATAAAGCTTTCTGATCAGTCATTCTGAAGAATTAGCCTGTTGTTGGACACTTGACCTCTGTCCTTAATAAGATATCTTTGCACAAGGTCACGTGGCACCAGGATGTCACCCATATTTTGTGTCTAAGAGCTATGTGTTCTTAGTTGATATTTCTAAATCTCACTTATTTTTAAAAGTGTTCTTCTCTGTAAAAGGAAAATGTGTCACACAGCCCCGGGGTATGTCCTGCAGCTCACAGTAGGCATTCAGTACATGCAAGTGCCCTCCCTTCCACCCACCATCTTGATCAGACAGCCCTGTGAGATGTGTGCCTCTTTGCACACCACATGCCCTGAAGCTGGGTGCTTCTGCAGGGAGTGGATACTAACATTTCTGATAAAACCCTACGGAATGTATGCAGATGTTCGTAACTTGATTCACAACAGTTCGGAAGGGGAAGCAGCCAGGTGTCCCTCAGTGACGACCAGGTGAACAGAACGTGGCGTGTCCATGCAGACCGATGCTGTTCAGCCATAGGAAGGAACAAAATACTGATCAATGCTGCAACACGGACGAACCTTGACAATATTACGCTAAATGAAAATGCAGTCGCAAACAGCCATGTATTCCACACCTCTTGTTTATATTAAACACCCCAAGTAGGCGAGTCCACAGCGACAGAAAGTCAATTCTTCATCGTCTAATCTTCTGGGAGCATGTAGGGGATGGAGGGGTTGGGCAGTGATGGCTAATGGGTATGAGGTTTTTTGGGCAAGTGATGAAAATTTTTCAAGTTAGATAGTGGTCATGGTTGAACAACTTTGTAAACATACTAAAGGACACTGTAGACTTTAAAATGTGAGTTGCATGGTATGTGAATTATATCTCAATATTTAAAAAAAAAAAGAACTTGCAGAGGGATACGAACAGATGGGTAGCCAGGGCTTGATGGCTCTGGGGAGGACATTGCCACGTCCATCCCTTTCCTCAGTCTTCTCGTGTTATTTTGTTTGGATCTCCTAAATCTCTCTTCTTTTCTGCTGATGCCACATGCCCAGACAAAGGGAACATTCTGCTTAGCTCGCATGTAATGGTTGAGATTTTTCAAATATCACTTTCTTTAAAGTTTTGAAAGGAGTGGAATGGGGATGAAAATGTGAATGAATGCTCAAAATATGAAGGAATTAAAGATGGCGGTGTTCCGGAGTTTCAGATTCCTCGCTCTGAAAAAGCCACGAGTACTGGCCAAGTCGTGGGTCTCGAGTGCTTCCTGGCCCTGGAGTCCCCTCTGGAAGCTCCGGCCAGCCTCCTGTATCCCTCCTTCCCCTCCGCCTTGGGCCTGCGCCCCAGCTGGTGGCACTCTGGCAAGAACAACTGACAATTAGGTAGTTGGGCTCCTCAGTGTAGAAAGCCACTCCCTTCCCCTCCAGATCCAGAGATCAAGGCCCTGGTGGGTGGAAAGAGCATGCAGAGACCCTCCACTCTTCCTTCCACACACCCCCGACCCCAGAGGAGAGGGCTGTTGCCCTGCAGTGCCCCATGAGCACATGCCCGTGGGCCCACCACCCAGGGCCCAGAAAGTGGTAGCTTCCCATTGCTCTGCAGGAGACTGCAGTTTTCTTTAATTTTTAGATTCCGAGATGACCGATCTGACGGTTAGCGTATCCTAGCAAAATGAAGACGCATAGGTAATTAACTCTTCCCGGCTTCTGCTCATGTGTTTTTAGATTTTAAGATTGGATAATAGCTTGCCTAGCCACATTTCGGGTTGTGTTTTGGATTTGCCTGAGCCCCGTCGGCCATCACTACAGACCAACTGGAGCCGATTAACCGGAAAACACCCACACAGAGAAGAGAGTGGGCCCCTCCAGGGGCAGTTACCCTGGTATGCGTGTGGGTTTCTGTCCTTTGCCAGTCTCCACTTCCCTCTGAGGGGGTGCTGGTGTCATCTAGAGAGAGTTGGTAACATGGGAACACGACTTGTCTCTCTGTGCATAGCTTTAGAAGCTTATTTACAAAGCCCTCCAGCCCCTGAGTTGAAAGGCTTCACCGAAAGACCTAAGACATGCTCAGAACGATTCAGGCCGCAGTCAATATTTATAACTTGGGGCTTCAGTTCAGGTGGCTTCATGAGACTATTTGAGCTCCACTTAATGTCTCTGCCCATTGATCATCCGCGGGAGCCCTTTGACCCGCTGGCCCCTCTCTCTCTAGTATATTGTGCAACTGGGAATACACTTGACTTTCAAAGGCTCAGCCTGGGCCATTCACAGGAAAATGTCTACCTCATTTTTAAGCCCTATCTTGTTCCCTTGCAGTCTGAATAAACATTATTCAATACCCAAAGTTACTTAAGCATTAATCATTTCCACCTGAAGGAGGAGGTGAGGGGAACAAAGATGTTACAGCACAAGAAGGTTGAAATTTAACCTCCACTGCTGGGTGCTTTCCAAGCTTCTTCAGATTAGTTCTTCAAAGAGGCCCCAGAGAGCTGATGTTACCTCTAGCTCACTGGCAT